TTCATAGGAGGGATGTTCCTGCTCTTGGCCCTCCTCTGTAATCACGCTAACTGGTCTGGGTCCTTCTTGTGCTGGGGACTCCAGAGCTGGATGCAACAATGCAACACTGTAGGTGGCATCTCACAGATGGGAAGAATCACCTCCCATCACCTGCTGGTCGCGCTTCTTTTGATGGATATTGTTGGCTTTCTGGGCTGCAAACACACCTTGTTTGTTCATGTCCAATTTTCCATCCACCAATATCCCTGAGTTCTTCTCTGAGTAGCTGCTGTTGCCTTTCTGTTAGGTCCTGCTCTCAGTGGCACGTAGCAAGTCTGTCCTGTGCAGTGCTGTCAAGCTGGGACAAAGAGCCCTCGGGATGTGCCTGGATCACCAGGGACTATATTGAGAGCCTCTGAGTGTGACTTTGGGGACTGAAAATCTTTGCCTTCCCAGTGGCCAATGACAAAGCCAGTGTACTCAGAGAGCACTTCTGGGTTTTTGCTGTGGTGCTGTGCAGGATGTGGACCCATCCTTGTCACAGGAGTGCAGCACATGGCCAGGCAGCTCTGGGCAGGCTGAGGGAAGATCTGGTTTGAACAGCAAGTGCTCTGTGAGTTGAGGGTTCTCTAGGGGTTGATGGTCACTCAGCACTGCTTTCAGGATGATAATCATGTCTGTTCACAAAAGAGATTAGAAAACAAGAACCTTCTATGGAATTGGTCACAAACCCAAGGTAGCTACTCACATGTGAGCCAGGCTGTGGGAAAGAATTTCTTCCTTGCTCCTTAATGCCCTCTCAGTACTCAGATGACATTTCCTCCAGCTGCAGATCATTCCAGCTTTATTTAGTTGAAGGTTAAGTGGGTTTGGCCAGTGTTCCTGGGTTTGGCCTGTGTACCCTGTGTGCTTTCCACAGCTATATAGCAGAATACATACATATGGAGTTTGTGAAGTTATTGCAGTAAGGGTACATGAAAGATATGTCCAATTCCCAATTTTACTTAAGGAAAAATTACAGTATTGTGTACATTTCTGTGTAGTATATTATGAAAATCAGGGAAGATAACTGAAACAATATTCATAAAATTCTGACAAAATAGTGAAAATATTACATCCTTAAGTGCAGTACGCAACAGTCCTACTATTTCCATATGGAAGTATATATGGATATTCAGGTCTTAATTCTCACATTGCTTTACAACTTTTCTGTACATGAGCAACATGCTATTTCCTGATATATTTCACAGTCCTAAACTCTGGTGACACCTTCTATTGTTACAAATAAAGTTACAGTGGTTTTCTGTCTTTTCAAATACTCAGAATACATTGATTATATTTTACTGAATTGTGTTCTCGAATTCAAACTATAGGCAGCTTTCCCTGCTGTGATTGTCTTATGTTGTTCAAAAACAATGCAAAAAGAATTCAAAGTTATGAAGAAGTTTTGGTTAGCTTATGAAGCCTCACACAATTTCTACACATTGACTGAAATGGATTTGGAGGAAGTAATGACAATTTCAACTTGATGATGTGTATATGCTCTCAGGCACAATGTCAAAGTCAGGTAATTTTCAATGTACAGAGAGAAGAACATAATTATCTGTGCTCTGCCAAGGAGGCTGAGGAAAATGCCTATGTACTGAGCTCATCTCAAATATGAAGGTTTGTCATAAAACAAACTGTTTGTTGCCTGCCTGTTGCCTTTTCCAGAAGCCACATGGTCTAGTGCAGCACTGACCTGTCTTCTCAATGTGACCTTCAAGAGAGCCTTTCAAGGCTCTTTTCAGGTTACATCAACAGCTGAGAAGATCACAGATTCCCACTGCTGCCAGGACTTAGTGGAAACGCAACAGGCAATGGCTGGAGAAATTAATTCCTTTTTATGTGTTTTCTCTGATATTAATGTCTACTGTTCTTTGCCACCACTTGCAGGGTGACATGTATCTGATAAACACAAGGACTGACTCCAAATCCCTATAGCTACAAGTACTTTTTTATGGAATAATGATATGATACATGATATCATTTAAATAATGATGGCTTCAATGTCAGAACAAAGAAACAACATAATAAAAGAGCTGGAATGCAAAGCTGAATTCACTGGTCCAGATTTATCTTATTCAACCTTGTGTGGTTGACAGATGTTAAACTCATCATCATCTATAAGGTCCAACAGACCAGGAAGACAAAAGGCATGTTCAGCAGCATAAATATCCTTCCACTGTGAGCATGATAAAGGAAAAAGGCATTACTGTGTTTTTTACTAGGAAAACTTTCAATAGAAAAGACATTTGAAAGTCTTAGTTGTTTCGGTGGACTATCATCAGTCCTTGCAAATCTGGTCTTCTTGGTCTCACAAAGCCCAGCTGACTACTCCTAGTGACATCTCACAGTATATTTCATGTTCTAGAGGAACTCCTTTGCTGACATTAAATTTGAGACACTGTAAAAATAAAAAGAAACATGTTAAAATTTTTATTTTTTAATTTGCCAATTGTCTCCTATCTTCATCTAAATATGAATACACAAAAAGGGATAATTCTTCAGCTGATATTTTAGTACTCAGCTGTAAAACACCTTGTTCATTAAAAGAAAGAGCTTTAGACCATCGAAAATGTTATCAGCTTTTGACATTTTGACTAAACAAAACATAAAGAATAAAGGAAGAGAATTTAGATGAAAAATGTAAGTGATTTACATATCTTGCTTGAAAGTGCATTGGTTAAATCATTCCAAACCAGCATGATTTCATGAATGGCTTAGATGCATATCAGAAGTTTGGCAGATGATACAACCCATGACATTAGCACAGGGTTGCATAAATCTTCCAGGAGAAGATTTATATATTAGCAAAAGCTTTGCATGGACATATACTGTCATTAGTGCTTTGAACTGAGAGAACTCACAAAGGCAATAGAAATACAAGTAAGAAATACTGAAGAGTAATTTAGCAGAAAAAGTCGAACTAAAGCATATGGAAAAAATAACCTGAAAATTCTTAGGTAATCTTTGACAAAATACCAGTGAGGCTTTTTTTTTCCATCTCTGCTCTTTGTTCACAGGATGAGGATTTCCAGAAGTAAGTTCAATGAACAATATCAAATAAAATAGACTAAATAAACTAAACAATACATTCAAGTTTTGAGGCAAAGTGGGCAGGGAAAAGTAATGTGGATTATATTTATAGAGGTCCAAGATGGAAATAAGCATCAGAAGAACATCATGGAAAATCATTGGATATCCAGGGCTTTTGTACCATTGAAAGTATCAGTATAGATAGAATTTCTTTAGTTTTCTGCAGCTTAATCAAAGAATCAATTATAGAATGGTTTGGGTTGGGAGGGGTCTGAAAGAGCCTTGGACAGGGACACCTTCCACTATCCTAGGTTGCTCCAAGCCCATCCAACTGGGCCTTGGACACTTCCAGGTATGGGGCAGCCACAGCTTCCCTAGGTAACTTGTGCCAGGGCCTCACCACCCTCACAGGGGAGAATTTTTTTCTGATATTTAATCTAAATCTCTTCTGTCTGTTTAAAACCTTTATCCCTTGTCCTGCCACTTGGCATGGTGAAATCAAAGAAAATTTGTAACCAGAGTGTTCTTCTGTAAGAAGCAAAAATTGCCCAGACTCATGTTCAGTCACTTGTCCACTCACAAGAACATACCCTGAATAATCTGAGCGATTCATCCTTTGTGGCAGCTTTATCTTCTTTCACAAAGCTGACCTTTCTCCCACTGATAACTAATTTATATTTACTGGCATATTGGCCTATAAGCTTCTTACAAAGAATCCAAAGTCCTCAGTTCTGTTGGTTGTCTCCTCTAATTTAACAGATATTAGTAAATTACACTGGAGAAATGTCCGGTTTGTAATGTCTTTGCAGTGCACTGCACTGTGCCAGGGGATGGCTGCACACAGGGGAGGCCAATCACTTATTCTGACAAACCATTAGCTGATTTCTTGTCAAGCTTTTAACCTGTGCCAGCTACACTTCTCCTAAATAGATTTGAAGGCATAACTGGACAGCTGGCATTTTCTGGGACCATTCCCAATAGACCCTGCATCCAGCCTCACCATTCTGGATACAGAAATAGTTTACTTCTGTAAGTATAAACAGTCCTGTGCCAGTTGACCTAAGTTCCTGGACATGTTTAATTTGCTAGTGTAGCTGTAGTGTTCCTCTGGAAAGCTTTGGAGGAGCAACAGTGAAATCTGTCCCTGGGAAAGGAAGGACCTGCTGGGAGAGGCAACAATACCTTGATGGAAGAAGGAAATTAAAAGTGATTGTGCCTCTGTTAACTTTTTGCCAATGTTTCCATCTCTTCAGGTCTGGACTCCACTAGAGATGAATGCAAAGCAGAGCAGAGTCAGAAGAGAAGAGGCAGAACAAGGGTAGACTCTGGCTACAGGCAGAGCAACAAGGATTGGGCAAGGCTCTGCAGTGCTGACATTCCCATGGAAGAGGAAGGATTTTGTTGGGCTGAAAATAAATCCTTCTTCAGACGGAGAGGCAGCTGCCTCACTCTCTGCCATCCCTTAGCAGTGGCTCCCCCTCCCCCATGTTCTGTGACTGTGAATTCAGGAGTAAGAATCACATGCCAGCAAGGCAGCACAGGTCAAGTGGGAAAGTGGAGGCATCTCAAGACTGCTGATCTGTATCCCATTAGGACACCCCGTCCTGCAGCCCCCATCCATGTTTTTTCTTGGTGCTATTCATCTCATGAACTGGAAGGCTTCCCTTTGTGCGTGGATGAAGAGATAGTGGTGGAAATAACACACATTTTGAATTACTTCAGGCTTTGTAAAACTGTGTTTTCATAATATATCTTATCTCATTTGGAAGCTGAGGATGGGGTGGACAAATGGGTGGTCGTGACCTTTGAAAATCGTCTAAGCTGTTCCAGGAGTAGAAATCATCAGCTAATTAGTATCTGGCTGGCAGTTGTTAACCTCAGTACCCCTGAGGTTCATAACAAGGCATTTATCTTTCAAAATCTTCATCAATACCCTGTGAGTGAGTCACAGACTGCATCTTTGGCAAATTTGCAGGTAACACTAATCCATGGGAGTGGTTGAATATGGCCAAGATTCAATCCAGGGGGACCTTGATAAACCTGAGGATGAGACCAATAGAAACCTCCTGAAACTCATTAAGTAGTGCAGTTTTCCAGCTGGGGCAGAATCACACTGTGTGGACAGGGAAGTGTCTCAGCAGCAGCCCTGCTAGGGAGGATGTGGGGGTTTTGTGAGAAGCAGTTTGACTCTAAAGCAGCAGTGCTTTCTCATCCTGAGGAAAGCAAATCCCAGAGTGGGCTGCATTAGGAACATTGTGTCTAAGAGACTGAAAGAAGTTACCCTCCTGTACTTGGGGCTGCTGCAGTCACACCTGGAATACAGTACTGTATTTTGGGCTCTGCAGTTCAAGTTGGATGTGGAGAAACTGGAGTGTGTCCAATGAAGCGCTACCAAAGTGGCGCGTGACCTAGAGCACGTTACCTGGGCTACAAGCTCCCAACAAGTAGAGGACAATGACCTACCCTTACATGTTCCACCATTTCCTATCTACACTTCCCTCAAGCCCTCTGCTCCTTTGGTCAGAATGTGTCTGCCCATAAAGAGTGGAAAGCAGCATGGAGTTAGAGGTGAGTCTGTAACTCCATGGTCTCTTCTTTGCTAGAGAGACTGGATTCATTCACAACTTCCTGTTGGTAGGTAGAAGTTTTAGGTATTTCCAAGAAAGCAGCTCCATCACAAGTAATGGTGACTTGGGAAGACAAATACCATAATTCCAAATGTCCCCCAACCTTCTTCCCTCAGACTTAATTGCTGAACATTATATTACATACATTATATGGTATGAAATACTCCTTTGGTCAGCTGGGGTTATCTGTCCCAGCTGTGTCCTCTCCCAGCTTCTTGTACCCCCTCCAGCCAATCTACTGGTGGGGCAATGTGAGAAGCAGCAAAGCTTGGCACTGTGTAAGCACAGTTCAGCAATAATACAATCATGCCTGCTATCACCAACACTGTTTTAATCACAAATCCAAAACACAGCCCCATGCAAACTCTATTAAGAAATTTAACTCTATCACAGCTAAAACCAAATCCATAACTTTTGGTGCAGAAAAGAGATGCTAATAGAATAATAGAATCAACTGGGTTGGAAGGGACCTCCGAGATCATCAAGTCCAATCCTTGATCCGCTACCGCTGCAGTCACTAGGCCATGCCACTAAGTGATGTCTCATTTCTTTCTTTAAGGTGCTGCAGTGGAATATCCAAGCCTCCTGTGTAAACACACCTTTTTGAAGCTCAGCAGTTACCACAGTCTGTCCCACCAGCTGAACTGATAGTTGAACTGTAGTCCAACTTGATGCCCGAGGATTATGTTATCAGTAGTTCCTAAACTGTATGAAATTGGTGGCTGTTCCTTGTTTAAACTAATGACAAGAATTAACTTTGCTCAATGAAACAGGTGAGCTGAAGCTTTCTCACCTGTTTGGGGACTTTGTGGTCTATCTATTTCTTTCACCTAAGTTTCCTATTGCACCTCTTTCTGACAATGTTTCTTTTGTCAAATCACAATAAATTACAGTAAATATCTCTTCAGCCTGTGTGAACCCAGCCTCTTGCCCTTTGTCCATAGATGAGCTCCAGAGATGGTGTGTCTGCACATTAACTTGAATCCAGTTCTAGTCAGCAGAGCAATTTAAACCACTCCCTTCTTGGTTACAGGAAGGTCCTGGTACCAGATTTCTTCTCACTCTGGAAAAAAAAAAAAAAGCCTCAAAATCCCAAACCTACTAAACACAGCAGGCAGACACTCCTGGATTCAGAGCAAGACACAGCCTTACAAGTTCACAGTTCACAAGAACACAGAATGGCAGCTTGGTGCTGATCTGTTCCAGTTGCACAGGGAGACAAGGCTGAGCTCATTGGCCTGCGCTGCCTGTGTGTGAGGATGCAGCAGCAAGTTAAACCTTTGGGTGTGTCCTTTGGCATTGAAAGTTGGAACCAATGACAGGTTCCCATCCCCTTTCACGTGAGAATTATCAGAATGCTGCAGTGGCACAGAAAGGATCCCTGGAGTGCAGTGCAATCCCAGATGGTAGGGACTTGTGCTGGCACCTGACTTAGTGGCACAAAAATAAAAAAGTAATTCAGGGACATGATGGTCTGGCCTCAAAACTCAGACTGTCTCTCTCTGTTAAAATGTCTTTTCTCCATGGACCTTCTGTATGTTTTCTTACTTAAATGGGCTTCTATTTCTAAGCAAAAGCTTTCTGCAGAGCAAATACATCACATACATCCCAACCTCACGGGACTACGCCTACATTCTCTGAAGATTATATAGCAACTAGTCTAAAACCTTAGGGGTCACATTTACTCCTGCACCCCACTTATGCACTCATTAATGAAACAGTAAACCATTAATTGCAACTTCCAAAGAAGTTGTCAGTTGTCAGGTAAAGCTTATTGCAGTTAACTGAGTTATTCTCCTCCCCAAGACCAGTTTTGGTGATTCAAAATGTGTTCAGTCTGTCCTCCAGCCCTCACAAATGCATGTGGGTCTTTCGTGCACATCCGGGGACATATAATTCCCAGCTCCATCAGATTTGCTTTTTGTTGCCCTTGCATTCAGATTTCTTCTGCTAATAGCTGTGCAAACAATCCTGTACCTCAGTAAAACAGAGTCCTGGTGTTAAACATGCCATCTATTTAATGCAAGCTGGAGCCAGGTGATGAGAAAACAGACTCAAATGACAGCCATACCTAGCACTGTTCTTGAGGTACTGTAGTCTCAGCTGGACAAGGCAGATGTGATTCATGGTGGCAAGCAAGCCTGAAGCTTTTCTCAGCTGGGAATTCAAGCTCTAACAAGTAGAGAGCAACAACCTGTCTTTACATCGTCCACTATTTCCTATCTGTAGCAATAAAATAAACAGATACAGGATCAAAGCAGATATGTCACAGACAAGAAATATCTCAGCTGAGCTCCCATATCCCTCCGAGGTATTGGGAGAGGAGATGCTGTGAGTGTCTAGGGAAGATCGTCTCAGCACAGGTAAATCATGAACCTCTATCATCCAAAGGATGTTAAGCAGCTAAGGAATAGAGGCATTTTAGTGTAAAAATGAGGACACAGGGCTACTTGTTGGAGCCTTTCCTGTCAACTGCTGGCTGCTTGTTACCTTAAGCAAAAGAATATCACACGCAAAGAGGCAAAGTTTTTGATGATGTCATCAGTAGGACATGTACATCGCAAGTCAGAGCTACAACCCACAAACTTATTTTTGGGGGTTAGCGGGGAAAAGGAACCAAGAAGAAATATCTTTTTCCCCATCTGATGAGCTTGCTCTCCCTGCACACCCACAGGCACAGTGCTTCTCTAATTACTGGAGTTATTAGTGTCCTGGCCTTAACCAGCCACTGCTCTCCTGAGTGAGAGAAGTCACGCTGGAGAAAAGCAGGCAGAGTTTGCAAACTGGCTGCTGGTAAGTAAAGGGGTCCCTGAGGAACGCCCCAGTATGTGGGTGTTCCTGCCAGGGATGCTGGTGTGAGCAACCCTATTGCTGCCCACTGCTGGCTCTGTTACACTGTGGTTATCTGGACTATAGTGCTGGAGGCTTGTTATGGGTGTAGTCCTGCCCTGACGAGAAAATTTCAGGTCAAGATATCTTTCCTGGTCTGCAATATAGGAGGATGAAAATAGTAATGTAGAGGGAGAATAGACAATACCTGTGCTTTTACTGGACTGGCAGGTCAACTTGTCAGTCCTTCAGCCTTAAAACACATCATGGGCATCAGTATTCAATTAGTGTCACTGAAAGCCAGTAAAAAGTGCTAATTAAGGAAACTAATAGGAAACCCCAGGATGAAAGAGCAACAAAAGGTATGACAACACTTTTTAAATTGGCAGAGTTCTTGCAATAACTCTTCTGGGAAAGGTGGAATAGCTACAAACCTTGTGGGAGAAGCCTCTACTACTCATTAAATCCCTCGCATCTAAAGCCAGTCACAGATGTACCAAGATATCTGTGATTGTTGGACAATCTGCACTATAACAAGAACATCTGGATTGAGTTTGTTGTTGCCTTAACAACCTAGATGGTAACTTAATATTTGATCCACATGGGCTGTGTAACACTGCAGTAAATAAAACACTCCCCCATTAGCTCAGAGGTAAGATGAGAGTACAACAGCAAAGGGTGACTGAAAATAAGAGGTGAGAGCATTAGCAAAAATCATGTGTTCAGTGGGTTTCCCAAATAAGCACAATGATGTCAAGTCCCCCAGTTGTGGTACTTTGGAAACTGTTAGGGGAGCACGGATGGCTCTGTATAAAGACCCGGTGGCATCTCGGCTGAAATATTCTGTGCTGTCCCAGCACTATACACTCAGAAATTACTGACTCAAGGGGTACAGAGTAAAGATAGAATTTTGAGACCTTGGGGAAACAAAGAAGCTCCCTTGAGTGCGGAGCCTGGAAGAGTTCAACTTATGGCTCTTGGGCCTTGGCCAGCACCCAAGGGACACTGGTGAGCCACACACTTGCTTTTAGGTGGAACAGATCCCTGCAAATCCATCCTATGGGGCATTGCCTCCCATGGCTCTGTCTCAGGCACTTCACATGAATCACTTGCCAAATTCAAAACCAATGTCAGTCTGAAGCAACTCTCAGCTGGAGCCAGCATTACCTGGCGCCAGCATTACCTGGAACCAGTGTCACCGAGCCCAGCCTGTGCTGCTTTGCCCAGACAAGGAGAGGCCCCAGCCAGCCCTGGCTCCAGCAGTTTTCCAACCACTCCATGAATGCACAGAATACTTTGCCTGCCAGGTGTGCACTCTGCCCAGAGCCACAAGCAGTGGCTGGGACTGGCACTGCCTGTGCTTGGCTGCTGCCAGTGCAAACAAAGGGGTGTCCTGGCTCTAGAGCAGCAGCCTGTGGGCTCCAGACTCTCCAAGTCCTCTTTGCAGGGGGGATCTCCCTCCCTTGCTGCTGCCCTTTGACTTGTTGTGACAGACATGTCAGCATGGCAGTTGCTCTGTGTTGACCCAAAGGCCAGCCCAGCGCAGTGTCCCCTGGCAGTGACTGTGGGCCTTGGTGGTGTCTGAGGCTGACAAAGTACAGGAATGAGGCAGGAAGATGTGCTGAGGCTTTCCCTGAACTCTGCCCCATACCCCAGGTGCTCCTGGCTGGCACATCCCAATCCTGATGTCTTTCTTGTGTGTGGGATCAAGAGCCTGGTTCTCCTCTCACGAATTTTTGTGGCAGATTTTTGAATGAATGGAAACGATCATTAGCCACTGATTGTGGTGAGGAGCTGTGCAGATTAATTACCAGTGTTTGGAGGAATATGTGACACCAAATGGTCTCCAAAGGATGGCTCCTCTCATAGTGGAGGCACTCTCTGGGGCTGTGAATGTTCTCTCCGGAGCATGTGATTTTTTGTCTCTGTAGCAGGCTGAAATGAGACAGAGTTGTTCCTATTCTGTCACACATGAATCATGCAAGTAACCTCTTCAAATTTATGATATGGACATCTGCACTGTTCTTGCCCGAACAATTCTGTCAGTGATACATCCCTAAGGATCCCAGATCAGTTATTTTTATGGATGTTAGTATCACTGCTCCTTGGAGTTGGGTTTCAGAAACAAGAAGATTGTTTTTCACTGACATCTTAAATTTGAGGGGGAGATTAGAACTCTCCAGGGAGTGAGAGTGGCATTTGACTCTGTCAGCTGCACAGAGTATATGATCTTTTCCTATAATAAGAACACAAGGATTTATACAATTCAAGACATCATAAATTACACTAAAATAACTATTTCTTTCTGCATTTAGGAAATTTAAATAGAAATTCATAGAAATGAAAGTACACCCACATTTGCTCACATACTATTTTTGTTACTCTAATATTTTGTTTTTGTGTTGATTCTGCAGTGGCTGTGCAGAGCCTGGACTCTTCTTGGGAAGAAACCTCTGCATGAATGCACAGAATAATGCCTTTTTCCTTAGAAAGTCATGAATGTTTCTAAACACAAATTTCATTATTCCACCCTGTTTCATCTTCCCAGTCATCTCTTTTCTTACTGGCAAGTAAATTCATGCAAGTACTCACAATTTTATTTTTTCTAGGGGGGAGGAGGGGGGGCTAAGAAAATAGGTTCCTTTGTGTCAAGGGGTGAAAACCTTTCTAGGTTGTTGAAACTTCCCAGAAAAGAGATTTCTCCACTGCTGGTTTTCCATGGAGGTGGGAGGACTCCTTTTCTGCTTTGATAGCAGGAATGAGGTGGGAGAAATGTCCCCCTTCTCTGGTTTCCATAAAATTCACCTGGAGAGAGGTCTCCTATGTGGCATGAGAGTTCCTTAGGGAACGAGGATCATCATGTTGGGCACATCACAGGTACCCTGAGAAATGTCTGCAGCAGCTTCTCTGTGTTACCCCACCTGTCCCTGCCCCCATCGCAGTATCAAAGATTGCAACAGGCACTAACAGAGCAAAGTTCGCAGGGAGTTTCCTGAATTTCACCACAGAAGATTCCACACAGCAATATGCTCTGAGCTTAAACATGTCCTGCCCTCCCTCCACTGCAGCACAACTAAA